CCCGCACGGCGCGGCCCCAGACACCGGCACGTTCAGGGAAACTGAGGCTGGGGGTGGGAGGGCGCAGGCGGGCCGTCTGACTCCGAGGTGGCCAAGGTGGCCGTGGGGTAAGTATCTGGGGCCCGTGTCGGCTCAGGGAGGCCTCGTTGGGCAGGGACGGACCACCCGGGAGGCCCAGCGGGTGGCTTGGGGTGGGTCCTGGCCACAGCCCACCGCGCGCCCTCACCTGCCCCGCTTGCCTCTTGCAGTAACTTCTATGCAGTCCCGACCCAGAGCCCAGCGCCCGGCTTCCTGGGGGCGCTACCCGCTCTGCTGAGGCCCAGAGCTCGGCGAGATGCCCGCCTCGCTGCCCTGCCGGACCTCGCTCGCCCACCCCGGGCCCAGCCTCGTCCTTGTCCTCCCCCTCACCGGACGCCGACGGCTGAGCCCCTCCCCACCCTGACAGCTCCAGGCCACCCAGGGCCCCCGGCGCCCCTTTGACTACCTGTACCTGTGAGACTGTGACCTGCCTGAGCGTCAGATCATGTATTTATTTTGGGTCTTTAGTCTTTGCACAGAGACGGAAGCACGTGTGTGCTTTTTCAGGAAAAAGACAAAAAAAAAAAAAAAAAAAACACGTGAAAAGAAGAAACTCCATTCTGCTGCACTTTTTGGTTCTCTGCTGAGCTTGTATGTGTCTTGCTGAGGAGCAAGGCCGTTCCCGCTGGCTTGGGGACCTGGGCCCAGCAGCCCAGTCACCCCAGCTAAAGTCCACACTCCAGTGTCAGCCTGGTGACCTGCAGAGGGGCCAGGTTGGGCATGTCCAGCTGCCCCCCTCCCCATCTTGGACCAGGGTGTCCAAGGGTGCAGAGGCTGCCTGCTCTCACCCGGAAGCAGATCCTCAGGTTCGGGGGGCCTCCGCACAGGACATCCGCCCTTCGTGGCAGCCTCAAGGGTACCCTGTCAAGCCCTGAGGCCTCTCAGCATCTGTATTTCCCGCAGACCTGGCACCACTACAGTGGGAGGGATGTCCCCAACCCCTGCCTTCCAGGCTCCCCGCAAGCAGGAATTGCCAGGCGGCTCAATCAGCCACATCCCAGAGTGCCCTGGTGGAGCTGAGGGCTGTGGATGTGTCTTTCTCTTCCCAGCGTGGACCACTCAGTATTCAACAGAGAGGGCCCAAGCAGTGGGAGACAACCATCCCCCAAGAGCACGACCTTCCCCAGAATGTCCAGTCAGAGCTGAGGATCAGGCCTGGACATGTAGTGGCCACCCCTGGGCCCCTCTGCCCAGAAGCTCAGCCCAGAGGGACAGACCTCTCTTCCGGAAGAGTCTCCCTCAGGACTGGGGTGGGCACTGCTGCTTCCCTTTTTAAATGGTGATGCTGTCTGTGCAGACTGAAGGACGTGGAAGACTTCCTTTCTTTCTGGCTGTCACCTGCAGCAGGGGCAGCTGCTCCTGGTGGTGCAGTCAAGCCCAGAGCCCAGAGGGGCGGCCACTGAGGCTCCCGCTGTGTTAACAGGGGCGGGCTGGGGCCAAAAGCTTTGCAGAGTGTCACAGTCCCTATGCAGCCACACTCCCACCTGGCTCTGACACGGGACTCCTGCCACGTGGCATGTTGGTGATGGTTTCCTTCGGCCTGCTCTGTGGATCCCCCATGATGTGGTCCTGGTAGGAGAAGCAGCACCTTCCAGAATTTCTCTCCCATTGCCTCTCCAGCAGACCCTGTCGTGGGGGAGATGAGATGGCTTGGAGAATGGGCAGATCCAGGAATGTGATTTTTCTTTTAAGCCCGTTGCAAGCTCCGTACGACACTGTTGCGTCCTGCTCTCCAGGTCCCTCCTCGACTCCCCTCCCGCAGCCCAAGGTCTGCGGCTAGAGGGAGTCTGTCTTTTGCACCTCCCCGAGCTGCAGAGGACCAGGCTGCACCCCAGGCAGGGACACAAGCTCCAGGGTGGTGCAGTCAAGCCCAGAGCCCAGAGGGGCGGCCACTGAGGCTCCCGCTGTGTTAACAGGGGCGGGCTGGGGCCAAAAGCTTTGCAGAGTGTCACAGTCCCTATGCAGCCACACTCCCACCTGGCTCTGACACGGGACTCCTGCCACGTGGCATGTTGGTGATGGTTTCCTTCGGCCTGCTCTGTGGATCCCTCGTGATGTGGTCCTGGTGGGAGAAGCAGCACCTTCCAGAAGAATTTCTCTCCCATTGCCTCTCCAGCAGACCCTGTCGTGGGGGAGATGAGATGGCTGGAGAATGGGCAGATTCAGGAATGTGATTTTTCTTTTAAGTCCGTTGCAAGCTCCGTACGACACTGTTGCGTCCTGCTCTCAAGGTCCCTCCTCGACTCCCCTCCCGCAGCCCAAGGCCTGCGGCTAGAGGGAGTCTGTCTTTTGCACCTCCCCGAGCTGCAGAGGACCAGGCTGCACCCCAGGCAGGGACACAAGCTCCACTCAGCAGCCCCTCGAGTCTCGGCCCAGGAAAGGAAGCAACCAAAACCCTCAGCGGGGACCAGATGCTGGCATGGCTCAGGGGACCCGTCAGAACAAGCCCATCTGGCGTCCCCACTTGGAAGCAGCACCATGTCCCCCTCGTCCTATCCAGACCCCCAGCAGTGTCCACCTGGATTCACAGAACAGCACCCATCTGCGGGCGCCACGAGTCTGCTGATCAGTCCCTGACCCATCCCACCAAAGGATGCCCAGCAGGCACTGGGGGAAACGGGCAGAGGTCGGAAGGGGTGTCTGGGACAAGGATGTCCAACAGGGACAACTGTGTCACCCTCAAATGCCCAAGCCCCAAGAGGCTGCACAGAGATTCCCAGAACTCCAAGTCCCTGCCAAGGTGCATGGCACCTGGACGTCATGAACCCTAGGGACGACGTGGCGTAGCAGGCACAGGCCGTGGGTGGTTGGCTCCGTGTCCAGCGCCTCCTTGGCGAGGAGGGGAGTAGCGTCGCGGTGCCCTCAGGCTCTCCTGAGAGAATCCTGTGATGCGCTGGTCGGATGCTCACCTAGAGGAGAAGTTGGCAAACCTCCGTGGATATCGTGACGTTTCTATCTCTGCGTTAAGTCCCGAAGACCCCTTTGGATGGCAAATTTTTTGTTCCTTCTCAGAGAACTGTAAAATGGATGCTGGAGTGTTCCTCAGACCCCCAGCGAGGAAGGCACCTGGACCCACCCAGCTCTCCCCCTCGTAGAAACCTGTAAATACCTTCTTGACTGTCACCTGTCCCCTCCCATCTGATGGCTGCTACTGCTAAGAATGTGGACAGTGTCCAGGTCCCTGTACTGTAAAAACTAAAAGGCATTTTCTCTGATACTGAAGGTGGAAACTTCTGTGTGTCCCCTGCCAGCCTTCCCCACCCCCACTCCCAGCCATCCCAACACGTCCCCCCACCCACACCTGGCTCTGTGCAATACTCCTGTCCCTGCAGGGTCCCCTGCCATGGTACTGTTGCCACAGCCCCTGGGTTCCCACCCCAGGGCAAGCACCCTCCACCTCCTTTTCTCTGGTGGGCAAACTGCATCCCCACCCCAATCTCATTTTTATGGCCCAACTGATTCTGAAACAAATGAAACGGCGAACCTTGTGTGTCTTAACTCTCACCAGGGATTCTGCGTCCTCAGCCCCCCATGGTCTGGTGTGTGACAATCCAGAGCTTGGCTTCTTGTGGTGCAGATGAGGGTGCCGTGTTTCTCAAACCCAGCACCGTGGGCGCTTCTGGAACGATACAGTCGCTGCTGGCCTCAAGTAGCACCTGTATGCAGCCCGGGTCCCTGCCCTCCCATCCCTGCCACCCCCTCTTTTTACGTTGAAGAGATCTCGCTAATAAATTGGGTAATAAGCATCAGCAGCTGCTGTTTGCCTCTTTGTGGGTTCTGGTGGTCTGTTTGGGGGTTTGAGGACTGGCTTTGAATCTCAGAGTGGAAAGAAACCTTCATGACATCTGCAGTAATAATAGGATTGGAACACCTTAATAGCTGTGGCCTCCTTTGGGATCTAGTTCAGCTCAGAAAACTTGTCAATGAGTCTGACATCAGTGCAGCCCGGCTCGAAGGAACACACAGTCCCCAAGGTTATGTATTTTTCTGCTAGAGTTGCACAAATTGAGTGCAGTGTGGACCTCTTTTAAGGGGAAAGTATTTCTCCTGATTCCTAATTTGAGCAAGTGCATTCAAAGTAAGGTCCTGGGCTGGCTGGTCACCTAAGTGGTTAGAGCATGGTGCTAATAACACAAGGTCCAGGATTCGATCCCTGTACTGGCCAGCTGAAAAAAAAAATCTTGTCTGTAAGCAAGCTCTTGGAAACAGTTTTTATCATACAGGCAGACGTGGAAATGGCATGGTTCTTTTATAAACGATGTGCAGATCATCTCAAATGTGCTTACTTTACGATCAAAGATTTGCGTTCAGATACTCACAAGGATGCGTGCTTGTTTTGAAAAACACGAGGCCAGGTCCTCCTCGCAATTGGGGCATTCCATCACCCTGACAGCCCACAGCCCATGACCAACAGGGTCATTATCAAGAGCAGCAAGATGTGGTCTTCCGATGTTCCCACCAAGCAGAGCATCCAAAGCCAGCATTTATGGGGGTGTCGTGAAGGTGTATCTTAAGATGAACATTTAAAAAGGTAGCTTAGGGGGCTGGCCAGTTAGCTCAGTTGGTTAGAGTGTGGTGTTATTACACCAAAGTCAAGGGCAGCCAAAAATAAAAGTTAGCTTAAAAAATTTTTTTTTAGGGGCTGGCCCTTGGCTCACTTTGGGAGAGCGTGGTGCTAACACCAAGTCAAGGGTTAAGATCCCCTTACCGGTCATCTTTTTAAAAAAAAAAAAATTTTTTTTAAGTTAGCTTAAATTATTAAACACATCCTCCGTACAAAGGTGCTCCCAGCCTCGTGTGGTTATAACTGCGGGTGGCATCTGCCATGGGCTGGAAGAGATCGGAGCAGGACATCAGGGTCTTCCAGGTGTCCAGGCCTCCTGTCTTGCCTCGGGTGGTCCATCCTCCCCACCCCACCTCACGGCCAGTCACCCGTTCATCTCCCCTGCTCGAAACCCTCCCATGGCTCCCCAGCACCTGCACGACAGAGCTGTACAACCTGGGTCAGGAGGGTGCTGTTAGAGTGGCTTTCCCGTCTCTGGGCCTCAGTTTCCCCATCTATAAAATGGGTTAATGGGGAATTCAGGGAGTTAGCCAAATTTTTTTTAAAAGCTGAATCCCTGAAATAACGTGTTCATTGGCAGGTGGTGGAGCACGACGGTGACTCTTACAGGTCAGCCCAGCAGCTAAGACTTCGGTCTCCGTCCCAGCTCCCACCCTCCTCTCTCTGGTGCAGGCGGGACGCCTCCTGCAATCTTCCCGGGACCTCGCTTCCCTGACACGCCCCCAGACCCCGCCCAAGGCCCAGGCCCCGCCCACCCCAGCCCCGCGTCCTCCCTGGACTCGCCGCCTCTCAGTTCCGCCTCGCCAGGCCCCGCCCCCTCAGTTCCTCAGGCCCTCCAAGGCCCGAGGACCCGCTTGGGGCTGCCGCCAGCACTGCCTGAAGGGGGACTACCCCACCCCGGAGGCCACGGTCCGGCCCTCGTTCATCACGCTGGCCACGTTTGCGAGCGAGGGCAGGTTGCGCCACGTCGGAGTCCCTGCGGGCTGGGGCGGCGGGATGGGTGTCTCTCCCGCGGATCAGGCGCGGACAGGGCAGCTCGGAGCGCGCCGCGGCCGAAGAAGGTCCCCGGCGCAGGCCCCGGCTGTTGGTGTCAGCGCCGTCGCCACCGCCC